CTGCTCAAACCAGACCCTGAACCCCCTCCCTACATTGGTGGGTGTGGCCACAGCATCACCAGGTCAGGTTATGAGAGCTAAAGTTGTACTCAGCATCAGGGTTATCTGAGGAAAAGCCTCCCTGGCTCCCCCAGATTCTAGGATAGGTGGGGGTATCAGTTGGGTAGCAACATCTGGGTTACCACTGCTATTTCTATATTAATAACCTCTCCATCTGGGAAGTGTGGTGTGGACATCAGCTTTCTGGGAAGGCAGTCTTTCTGCCAAGAGCTGACAGTGCAGACTGAGAATTCCTAGTAAGGCTGAGCAAAGGACATACTTTATCTCCTATCAAAAGAGCAGAAAGGGGCTAGGGTTGCAGTTCAGTGGTATAGCACTTGCCTAGCATGTGTAAGGCACTGGGTTTGATCCTCAGAACTACACAAAAATAAACTAAGGTATTGTGTCAATATAAAACTAAAAATATTTTAAAAAAAAGAAAAAAAAAGAAAGGCCAAGTGTTCCGCTGAGCTGTCCTCCCCATCACCACCACCAACATTGCTAATGCAAATTAGGTCACCCCCACTTCTCAGCTCTGTTCCAAGGGATCTTCTTGAGGCTCACAGAATGGGTTATGTCCCTTTTCTATCCCTGCTTGATTCTGAGCCTCTGACAAGGCTACAGTTCCAAGAATGAGCTAATATGCTGCCTGTGACCCAAGACAGAGTCCCAGACAAGTGCCTCCTTAGCTTTTCATTTGTACTCTAATCAAGACACTGCATTGAAAGTGTAAAGGAAAGCAGAGCTCACCACCACCACACCACATGCTCTCAAACAAACACAGGACTACATTGCCTTCAGCATCCCCTATGCCCAACTTCTTGCTTAGCCCAATTAGGATGGTGTTCTCTGACTGTGAGTTCATCCAGGAATAAGCTGGTCCTCTCCTCTAGGCATGCCCAAAGATATGCTGTTGTCACCCTCAAAGTCCCTCCTCCCCCTTTCCTGCTATCCTGAGGGGAAGCCAGGCCCTTTCTACGTTTTTGTCATACAAGTCCTAAGTAGGGAGTGGTCCTGTATCAGTGGGTTCAATTTCTTGAAAAGGGAGTTGACCTGGCCTGAGTTCCCGAGTATTCTGGCAGACTCAAAACTTGGGCTTTTTCCTCTTCATCCTGATACTGTGCTGCCATTAAGATAGAAAATAAGCAAGCATGGTGGCGCATGCCTGTAATCCCAGCAGCTTGGGAGTCTGAGAAAGGAGAATCATAAGTTCAAAGTCAGCCTCAGCAACTAGAAAGCGCTAAGCAACTCAGTGAGACCCTGTCTCTAAATAAAACACAAAATAGGGCTGAGGATGTGGCTCAGTGGTTGGATATCCCTGACTTCAATCCCCAGTACCCAAAACAAAAAACAAAAAACAAAAAAAAGAAAAGAAAAGAAAACAATAGCCCTTATCCCTGGCCTTAGGAGCCCTGGCCAGCTTCCAACAGGACATTTCCTGCTGTCTCAATGTGTGTCTGGAGCTGTGGAGACAAGTTTTGTTTTTTGTTTTGTTTTGTTTTGTTTTACGTGGACACAATCTTTATTTTATTTTTATTTGGTGCTGAGGATTGAACTCAGTGCCTCATGCATGCTAGGTGAGCACTCTACCACTGAGCCACAACCCCAGCCCCAGGGAGGTAAGTTTTGGTAAAGGTATTCCCTGGGGCTTCAAGGTGTCCTGGATTCAAGGATCGACCCAAGGAAATTGTTAGTCCCAGCTAGGTGCCCCATCCCCATTTGTTTCTAGTGACATGTTCTCCCCGAGAGGCACAGTAGGGGAACCCCAACTGCACTGGCACCATCCAGATCTCACAGTATCCTATTAGGTTAATGCCCACTTTTAGCCTTAGAACCTTTTGGGTTAGAAGCAGAATTCAAGAGGCGCAGGTCTCATGATGGGCGCTGGAGGCGTGAAGCCAGAATACAGGCAAAAGCTAAGGTGAGCCTCCCCCGCCCCTACAAGCCCCAACCCTGGAGATGGCACCTGGGGTAGCTTTACCTCTGAGCTACATCCCCAGCCCCTCAGCCCGCATTTTTTTTTTTTTTTAGCCTGGGTCTTGGTAAGTTGCTGAATCTGGCCTCGATCTTTCTGCCTCAGCCTCCCCAGTCGAGGGTTACAGTGGTGCACCACTGCGCCCGGCCAAGGACAGATTCTTACTGGTTCCCAACTACATATATCCGAACTTTCAAGGTTTACTGTTTGGGGCCCCAGGAGAGAAAGCCATCCGAAAACCAGGTCGCCTTTTTCCTGCTGGCTTCCTTTTTAGAAGAACTGTGAATGACGCGTTCCGAACCCCAGCTCGGAAACTCTCGAACACCGTGTGACAGAGGTGGAAAGAAGGCGGGCCTCCACGCAGGCTCGGCTCGGCCACAGTCCCACAAAGCCCCGCCGCTCTCAGGCTTTTACTTGGTCCCCAGCAGTCTGAACTCTGCTCTCCGCAGGTTCCGCCCTATCCTCAGCAGAAAGTTTTAACTCTGCGCACAGTCGGTCTCTCCCAGCTCACTTTGCCTACGCCCGCAGCGCTCTTAACCCCGCCTATGGCCCGCCTCTCCAGTTCGCCCACCGCTGGCTGCTTAGTCCTCTAGCGCCACCTCCTGAGAACCTGCGGGCTCTGGCCCAGAGCCGCTGACAGACAACTCTGCGGGGGGGTGGGGGTGGGGGTGGAATGTAGAGCCAGTACCAAGATTTATAGCTGATCCACCCACGCTCTAATCTGCCTCGCAACTTGCTCCTGGCCACACCCAACTTTACCCCATCTCAGGGGTCATCTTCACCAAAGCTGGGGACAATGGGGCTGAGTGTCCCAGGGGAAAAGTCTGGGCACCCAGGTCTCTGGGCTCCTTTACCCCACACTGTCCTGATGGTCGCCTCCTGCCAGGAACACCCCAAGAGATGGGCAGCCTGACTTTGGATTTCTTGCCTTGTCTCGACATTTTCTTAGGTCCACAAGGGAAATGGTACCCAAAATCCCTCAACAGGGGCTTCATACAATTCCTTGCTGCTCTCCAATATGAAAAAAATCCTGAAGTGTTTAATCTTAGACTTGAACCTGCCTCATACTAGCCACAAGACTTAGGCCAACTCCCCCACCCTCTCTGAGCCTCAGTCACCTTGTCTCAAAACAGTGGTTGAGAGGGTAAACAAAATGGAAAAATTAAGTCACCAGTTGATTTGGATTTTTAAGATACAGTAATACAGCGAGAAGAATGAAGTTCACCACAGAAAGACTGATACTTCAGTTGAGTCTTATCATGGTTTAGAGAAGCTGAGGAAGTTTGTCCAGGCTGTTGGGACCATGGAGAAGCAGGATGGAAGCTGCAACGGGTCAAGTAGTATGGAACTTCTGGAGGATCAGTCTGGTCAGGAGCTCCTAAACACACCCAAAGTTTCTCCCGATAACAGCCCAGGACCAAGGATCTTGGCCCAAGGTAGTTAGTGCCATTATACCAGAAGATAATGCAGATTCCTTTACTTTTCGTGGATCCTTTAACCCTTTTGCAGGCAGACTAAAGAGTGAGCTCTTATTTCAACTCCATCTCCTAGTTCAAAGGTATCCTAGAACCTCTAGACCAGAATCTCACAGAAAAGGAAGCCAGGCCAGAGGGTCCCAGGAACTTGCCCTGGGTCAAAAGCAAGCAGGAAGGAAGGCAGATTCTTATGCCTCTTTTCCTCTCCCTTCCTTTCTTCCACCCTCTCTCTAGCTCAGAACTATTGAGCAGACAGCCCCATATCCACCAACGAAGGGTTTACAGGGATCTGCCAGGAATTCTAGGGAGCAAAAGTCTGCCAGGCCAAACAGCAGATAATCCCTGTTCACCAGAGGAGGTAGGGCAATGCAGAGGCCAGAGGTCTTTGTGACTTTTCTTCTTCCTATTCTGAAGGTTTTCCTTTTCTCTGAGACCCTTACTTAAGTTCAGGACAGTGAGCAAAATGCTAAGCAGACCTTCCTGAGACCAGGAGAGCAAGGGCCAGGTCATTTCCTGGGCCCTTGATGCTAAGCCTAGGGATTGAGGCATGTGTCCCTGAAAACATGCTGAGGATGGTCTTTCCTGGCATTTTCAGTATATTGTACACTCAGGTCCTAACTCCAAGTAATTGTTTAACCTTGAATAACTCCCCACACAGTCCTGTCTGTAATATGGGACCAGTGTCTTCAGTGGGTCTTCAAGGTTGTGAACAGCGCAGTCTGGGGGCTTCCCAGGGGAAGATGATAGGGGTGAGCTCAGAAGAGGCACTGGTTTTTCTGTGACCACCAGCACTTTTGAGCCAAAGCTGCTGCATCTCTGTCTCCCAAGTGCTAAGCAGCATCCCAGAACAACCTATCTGCCCCTTTCCTGGGAATTGAGTCAGACCAGGTTCTTATGAGTTAGCCACCCAGAATCTACTGGCTCACAGGCAGAGCAGCCTGGTTAGAGAAAGTATTCTGCCCTCTCCATCTCAAAGCCAACACTAAACTTACTATCAGGCAGCCTGGACAGTCCCAAGCCCACAGACAGTGGGCGTATTGGGGGTATGGGCTGGGGTGAAGCTGCAGCCAGAGACATCCCTCATATTCCCATCTTCACAGGGACCCAGGCTGAAGGACTCTTGTCTAGAAGGTGCCACTTTGGGGCAGGAAGCCCATGACAGGACTTTTCCACTATACTAGTCTCTACCCATTATCATTGGGTTTTCTGCCACCCACCACCCCTTACAAATCAGGAAACCTAGAGCAAGGGCCAGGTCATTTCCTGGGCCCTTGACTTGTTTGCTCAAAGACAAAAGGGGTGCTCAGGGGAGTTTACATATTGGCAGGGTTTCTGGAACACACATTCAGCCCTCCCAAGGGTACTGAAACAGGTTAAGGCTCTATGGAGGCCACTAGGCTCCTTCTGAATGGGCCTGGCCAAGTCTCCTCTTCCATGTCACACGATTCTTCTACTACTCACGACCAAGAACCTGAACAGGCCAGGGAAATAGGTGTTCAGAGGCAATGGCATTGTAATAAAGACACTGATTTTATTTAGTTTGATATGTTTCTATACAGAATGCAGAAAACACATCTTAAAATCATATAGAAGGAAATAAAAACACGTCAGTGGTTGGTGAACACTTGAATGTGAGATTGGCTCTCCGTCTCAGAGTCCAATGGCATTGCCAGCCCAGTGCTCAGGGAGGAGTATGCCTGCAAAGGCATTGTTGCTGTTATTATTCTGTTCACTGCCCCATTGCCTCCAGTTGCTATGGCAACAGGACATTCTGGGACAGCCACAGCAGGGCAATGCCCAATGGTGGGGTTGCTAAGGGCAACAGAGCTGTTTTGAAGGCCTTTCAAAGCCCTCACCTGGAACATTGGAAATTGTTTATTTTTTGATGAGGTCATCAGAAAAAAAATCACACCAGGTCAGATTCCACTTGTGCTCCTGACTCAACTCTGGCTTAGACCAGGGCATAGAAGCATGAGGCCTGGTCACCAGCCACCCACTGAGCCCTCATCTATAGGCTCCTCCTCCAAGGGTGCTGCTCACTCCAGAGTAGCCTACTGGAGGCTGGGGCAGGGGAGAGGGTTGGGCCCTGTGGAAGAAGGCGCAAGGGAAATGCCTCTGGAGAAGAGCAGAAATGAAGACCTTTCCCCTCCTATCTTCCCCTACTGAGGGAGCACACACAAAAACTCTGCAAAACAGTCAAATCCTCTGCAACAGTCAAATCCTCTGCAAAACAGTCAATATGGCTTAGAAGTAGCTGCTCCGTGTGCAGAGGGAGCCTGGGTTCACCCACCCCACCCACCCTCAATCACAGAGGGATACATTATTGCAAAAGGCATTCCTCCCTAAAAGGTACCCGAAATAACTCAAGACATCAAGAAAAGTCATGCTCCAAAACAATTTCTTCCAAAGGAGGAAAACTGAAGCAGAGTGGATGCCCCTGAGTCATGGGACAGAGATGCAGATGGACGGACGGATGTTTTGCTAAAAAAGGCAAGAGAAGCCCTAGTGTAGTTCCAGAATTTAAACTGTTAGGAAAAGAAGGGGGGGTGGTGGTCAAAATGAGCAAAGCCGTCAGTTCCATGGATTCAACACTAAGAGCTTGTACAAACTGCTGTAAGCATCACCATTTTTAATCTTTTTTTTTTTTAATAAAACAATTTGAGGCTGTATAAAAACTTTAGTAAAAAATTAGCTTTGAGAGCCCACAGATTTTTACTATGAACTATTGCTGGCACTCCTCCCCAGCCACCATTTTCCAGTCATTCAGGCCCAAGGCCTGGGACTGGAGTGCCAGAGAAAAGGAAAGGGGTGGGTTTTGGGTAGGACTGTGGACTGTTGGGACAAAGCAGCCAAGGTCAAGTGAGGAAAGAACATCACATGACATAAAAATATTGCATCGTCACCAAAATGTCCCCCACTGAGTGTTTCCAAAAACATGATATTCCTTTTGGGGAGAGGGGGAACATACCAGAAGAAGGGAAAAACAAAATAGGTTGATGTGGTCGAGTCCCTCGACCTCCCAGGTGCCCCCATGAGCAGATGGCCCACCTTGGAGCACCTAGGTTGGGGGCCATGGCCACCAATGCCTCTTGGAGTCCCTTTTCCATGGAAATGAAGACCCCTTGGTGGTGGGCCATTAGTGTGCATGGGGTGGAGGTGGGGATGTCCACAGCCCAATAGGCCCCTCCAGCTTCCAGCCTCTGGCAACAGCAGGAGAGCAAACCCAGCACCAAGGCCCTGGCCCCCAAGCCAGGGTCAGGAGGACCCCATCAGGCTCTGGGGTATCAGAGCAACCAAGTTGACGTAGTGTGAAAAAATAGGATTCCTTTGATAAAAAATACTGTCCCTTGGTCTTCTCTAAGATTGAAACACCCTGGGAGCTTATTTTTAGCAAAGCAATTCCCCGTACCCACCCAAAAATTATACATACAAGTTTAGGTAAACAGCAGATTAAATGTAAAAACTTAACCTTAACTTCTGAAAGTCCTTTGAATTTAATCTTTAGCTACTGTTTTCCATGTTACATCCTGCAGCTAGACACACGTGAATAGAAAAAACAGTACAGTTAGTGTTAAAGGCAAAACGCAGAGAGCTGGGGGGCCACCCAGCACTGCCTGCAAGTTCATTCACGGTTCCTCGCTCCCTCCACCTAACTACTACTCAAACAAATGTTTTCAGAGCCAGCCATCAAAAAACTCAGCGAAGAATTTTCTATGAACAAACAAAAAGCTGTTAGGCAAAAAATAAAAAAGTCCCCAAAGTCTCTCCAGCTGCTTTGGGGTTTGGGAGGACCAGAGAGGGTGGGCTCGTCTAGGCCCCGTGTGTCAGTGTGTGCTAGGTCGGGTGTCAGCTACCGGTGGGTGATGGTCTGCAGGTCACCGGTTTCCACAGACAACACCAAGTTGTCTCTAGGCCCCTGCCCTAACCCTGCCTCCACCCAGGCGCTTGTGGGTTAAGGGGGGACATAGGGAGGGGGTGACCGGTATGGGGTCATGTTCTTGGGACGGGAGCCCTTGCCCTCCATGGGGGCTGTGAAGGGTGGGGGAGGCTGATAAGGAGGTGCATTGGGATCCTCATCCCTCAGGGGTGTGTACTCTCCCACTGTGTCCTGGTTCAAAGGAGTAGTCTCGGGCACACTCTGGTTGGGGTACTCAGGAGGTGGAAGGGGGGCCTTCTCCTCCTGCAGGATGAGTGGCATACTGGAGGAGGGTGGGGGCTTGGAGTCATCTAGCTCATCTGCAAAGATGATAGGCACCCCTTTCTTGATAAAGGTGGCCTGGTCCTCAAGGGTAAGCTTGCCCTTCCGCTTCTTGCGATAACAAATCATTGCTATGATGCCAGCAATGAGCAGGATGGCTGCAACTACCACAGCCGGAATGACTGTGTGTAAATAAACATCATCCTCACTGCTCTTCTCAGGGTCCCTGTCTGGCATCTCTGTGGTTGGTGCCAGTGAGGACCCCATCTTGGGTGGTAGCACAGGGATAAACTGTAGGTGTCGACAACTGCCAGAACCTGTCACAGCAATGCTCATGGCCTTAAAGTCAGGCTCCAGGGCATTGGAGAAGGCAGACCGAGGTTTCCCATTATCCTCAGCAATCCTCCGACTCAATCCAATAATCTGCTCCTTCGGACAGGGCTCCAAGGGCAGTGTATTGTTGGTCCATTCTACCTCGATTGAGCCTCTGGTGATATTCTGCAGGGTAACAGTGCTGCAGTTTCGGTCACCGAAGGCAAAGGCCAGCTTCTTCACCAAGGCAATCTTCTTGTGGATGTCATTCACCACTGTTGCTGGGTCACCCACAAACTTGGCCTTGAACCTTGCAGGAGCCCTGTCTCCTTGAGGCCGCTTGTGGACATGGATCTCAAAAGCATCTACAGCTGAAAGGCCCCCCTTGTCTGTGGCATGCATGAAATACTCATGTTTGCCCACATGGCTGCTGTCAGGCAGGCCATACATGAGTTGGCTGTTGCTGTTAAACTGCACCCAAGATTTCTCACCCACTAGCTGCTGCTCCCGCAGCTTCAGGGTCAGCTTTAGCTTGTCAGTGGTGGTATCCTCATTGTCATAGAAGGTATCCGATGGGATCTTCACCTCAAAGTAGGTACCCACCCAGGCATCCACTCTGTCAATGTGGTTCTTGAGTTCTGGACGCTGGTTGGGTTCTCCCCCACGGGGCAATCCACTGGTGGTGGTGCGGATTCGAGTAGGTGGAGAGGCCGTTTCCAGTCTGGTGATGGGAGCTTTGGTGGTGCCTCGGGGCACTGGTCGGGGAGTCCGTGGTTTCTTGGTGGGCCTGCGGGTTGTCGTCGTTGAGGAATCAGTTGAAGGCGTTGCTGGTTTTGGTGTGGATACTCGTGGCTTCTTGGTTGTAGTTGTGGGAGGAGTAGCAACTGCCGTGGGCTCCACATAACCAGGAATGGTCACTGTTGGGCGAATCTGGCCAGGAACTGTGGTACCAGCTTCTGACACCCGAGTGGGCTGAATAGGGCCTAGAGTGGGGGTCTGAATAATGGCACCTCGAGTGCGAATGGTGACTGTGGGTTTTCCAGGAACAGGATCCCTGACAGGTGGAGCCATAGTCTCTGTTGGAGGAGCAATGACTGGAGATGTGGGGGTAGGCACTATCCTGGATGGTGGCTCCTGGATGGCCGTGGTTGGAGGTCCAATGGCAGTGACAGGTGTTGGTGTAGCATGAATTTGCCTCCGTATTCTTTTTGGAAGAGGGGGCTTCTTATTGGCAATATGCCAACCTACCACAGGGTAGCCAAGCTGGGCAGACATAGCACCCTCCCTGGCAGGGGTCTCCACGCCATGAATGTCAGGCACACTATTCTGGTTCAGGGAGCAGCCCAGTTTCCAGGAGAGCAGAGCCCCATTCTCCACAACCTTTTTTGCATTTCCTGGGCCGGCCATGAAGGCTGACATGTCAAAGAGTCTATTATTCACCACTGGCACCAACTTCATGTTGTGAAGTTCCACTTCTGAGAAACTCTGCATCTTGTGCAGGAGGTCAATCCTTTGCTTTGGGGTCATTTTGGTGAGATCAGCATCCAGAATCACTGTCAGGACCGTCACTGGCTCATCAGCAGCGCAAGCAGAAAACACTACCTCCCCAGGGTCTGGTGAGGCTGCTCGCATGGACTGTGGCTCACTGTGTTCTTCAGGGTAGACCTCAATAGAGAATACACTGGAGGTTTGAGGGACATGGCTCCCATTGGCCCCCAGGCGTGCAGCGCTCACTGAGATATAATGCACACCTTTATCAGTGTCAAGGGGGAGGCCCTCCAAGGTGTGGCTCTGTGGGTCCCAGTGCAGCCAAGATGGCAAAGCCTCTTTCCCCGCTGCCGATACCTAGAAGAGACATGAGCAGGAGTTACAAGTGCATTACCTTAAAATGATCACACAGCTTTTAACTACTATCCTAGCCTAAGTTGTGTAACAGATTTGATGACAAATTCAACTTTCCTGTTGGGGAAGCCAGAGAGGCACAACCATCTGTGTACATTTCACTTACCTGGCATAAAAGACTGGGGCTGGATGATGGACTAGCTGAGAAAGTATGCACCCAAGGCCACAAACTAGGGGAACAGCAGTGCTGGCACTCAAAACACATGTCTCTTTCCAGAGAAGCAATGTCATAGAGCTCAATGTTTTGGACTTTTATGCCAGTGATACACCCCGCCACCTAATTGCCTGCTCTACCTGCAGAATCAAGTCAAAATGTCTTTTCCCACCCCTCAGCACTCCTCAGCCTCTCCCCAGATTCTGCCCCTGCCCTCATCAGACACCTCTGCTCAAGTCATACACCTGGCCAGCACACCTTTTCTGGGTACAAGTGGAAATGTACATAGATCTGGGTACAAGGGAAGACTCTGCCCAGAATGACTTACTTTGCAATCATCAGGTGATATTCAAGGGTAGTGGAATCATAGCCAGCTGATTCTTTTTTTCCCCCTCTTTTCTTAGTTATACATGATAGTAGAATCCATTTTGATACAATTATACAAGAATGGAATATAACTTATTCTAATTAGGACTCCATTCTTGTGGATGTACACGATGTTGAGATTCACTATGGCATATTCATATATGTACATAGGAAAATTATGTCAGATTCATTCTACTGTCTTTCCTATTCCCATCCCCTCCCACCCCCCTTCATTCCTCGCTTTGTCTAATCTACTGAACTTCTATTCTTCCCCCCACCCTTCCCCTTATTATGGGTTAGCTTCACATACCAGAGAAAACATTCAACCTTTGGTTTTTTGGTATTGGCTTATTTCATTTAGCATGATAATCTCCAGATCTGTCCATTTACTGGAAAATGTCATAAAGTCATTCTTCTAAATGGCGGAGTTATACTCCACTGTGTATATATACCACATTTTCTTTATCCATTCATCTGTTGAAGGGCACCTAGGTTAGCTCCATAGTTTACCTATTGTGAATTGTGCTGCTATAAACATTTATTTGGCTGTGTCACTGTAGTAAGCCGATTTTAAATCCTTTGGATATATACCAAGGAGTGGGATAGCTGGGTCAAATAGTGGTTTTTAAGGAATCTCCATACTGCTTTCTAGAGTGGTTGCAACTGTTTACAGTCTCATGAGCAATGTATCAGTGTACCCTTTCCCCACGTTTCCCATATAGTTAACTGATTCTAATGTCCAAATTAAATCTGTTCTTCAAGAAAAACCAGTACCCAGAGTAGAGGACTAGAATCAACTATTCTAGAACAATGTTAAAGAAATCTCGAGGAATTCTGGTTTCTAAAAGAGAAATTCTGTAGTCAACCAAGTAATAGGAAATGAAAACACAGAGCCTAATTCTGTCCTTGGCAGAGAAGAAGCCTGAGGAGCTCATCCCTTATTCTTTTTTCTTTTTTCAATAACTTCATTCATTCATTCATTATGTGGTGCCGAGGATTGAACCCAGGGCCTTGCACATGCCAGGTGAGCGTTCTACCGCTGAGCCATAACCCCAGCCCCTCATCCCCTTATTCTAACCAACAGCATCTCCCCAACTTCTTTCAGTGTGGAAGTCTTCTTCCAAGTGAAGTCTTCTTCCAAGTGACATAACGGTAATACTCTAAGCAACCAAGGGAATACCACCACAGAAATTTTCATTATCAGCTGACAAATGGGAAATTAATTCTTGCTTCTTGCCCAGATCTCACACATGCAAGGCAAGCGCTCTGCCGCTGAGCTACAACCCCAGCTCAGCAGCTATATTTTGATTGAGAACAAATTATTTCACTATCATCTACTCAGAGTTTTACACTTTTTGAGCAAGCCAAGGCAGAAAAATAGGGCCAAGCCTATCCAACCTATCCTATGCAGATTCTGTTTCCCCAGGGCTCTAGAATACAGGCCATGCGCTGGCTGCAGGACAGGTGTGCAATCTGGACCGATAGCCTGGTAGCGGGCAGCCTCCTCAAATCATGAATAATCTGAAGACAGAATGTAAAGGTACTATGGCTTTTTCTAGGTGTGGTGGCACACATCTGTAATCCCAGCAACTCGGGAGGCTGAGGAAGAAGGGACTTCAAGTTCAACGACACCCTTGGCAACTTAGCAAAGTCCTGTCTCAACATAAAAAAAGAGAAGTGACTGGAGACATTACTTAGTGGTAACATCCTGGGATCAATCCCCAGTGGGGGGATGGGGGGGATGAAGCTCAGCTCTAGACAGGCTGAAGCTTGACCCAACCTCAGCCCAAATGTACTCATCTATAAAATGAGAGAAATGATCCTATCCTTGTATCCTTATAGGACCAGGTATGCTGGACATTGGTAATGCTTACTCCAGTAAACAACATTAAGAATATTGCACAAATAGACTCCACTTCCCAGTCCTCCTTCCCAGTTGGCTTGGATTAGCCCAATGTATAGGGAACCTTGTCTTTGTATTCATACTCTGAAGAATCTAAGAGAAGTGGGGAGGCTCTGGGCAAGATTCTAACAGGAACCAAATTAAGGTCCCTAATGCCAGGGTTAGGGATCTTCAGGGAGTTGATTGCCTGTCAAGACCTGTCTTTCAGAAGAAAACCCTGAGGGGTCATGGGGGAAAAGGACTTGTTGCATATGAGAGTTGAAAGACCAGTATTTACCTCTTTTTTTCTTTTTGTTTTCTTTTCTTTTCAAGACAGGGTCTCACTTAGTTGCTTAGGGCCTCATTAAATTGCTGAGGCTAGCTTTGAATTTGTGATCCCCTTGCCTCAGCTTCCCAAATTGCTGGGATTATAGCCTGCACCACCCAGCCCAGTCAGCTTTAAAAATTTAGCAAGCCCCTAAACAATTTTTAGTGAGACCCTGTCTCGAAATAAATAAAAAGGGATGAGATGTTGCTCAGTGGTAAAACACGGATTTGAATCCCCAGTAACACACCAACCATCCCCCCCAAAAAATACTGCCAGGCATGGTAGCACTGGCCTGTAATCCCTGCAGTTTGGAAGGGGCTGAGGCAGGAGGGTCCTGAGTTCAAAGCCAGCTTCAGCAATTTAATAAGACCCTAAGAAACTCAGCAAGACCCTGTCTCTAATAAACAGGCTCAGGGATGTGGCTCAGTGTTAAGTGCCTCTGGGTTCAATACCTAACAAATAAAACGTAGATAAATCTCAGAATCAGTCCTTCCATCCCAAGTCCTGATATCATCTATTTTCACTTGGTCATATTTTTTTCAATTCTTATTAGTAATTTATTTAAAACACAGAGGCTTATATTTTCAATAGTATTTGAGTTGATGAGTCTGGGCAAATGCCTACCCGCAAGGATGCCTTCCTTCACCAACCCACATTTCCCGGTGTACAGTGCTCACAAGGGGCTCATTCAAAAACTGGGGAACACCCACTTGAGTCACGAAGAAACTGTAGTTCATCTCACACAGACAGCATTGCCACAAAGGTCTCAAGCATCCAAAGAAATGCTCCTTTCATAAACTCCTCTTCCTGGACAAAAAGAGTATCCATTGTTTTTTGGGGAACAACTGGAGGCCCACGCCAGCAGCTGAGAGCACAGTCCCAGGAAGGGCTGCTCCCAGCTTGCTGACATCTTGGGTAGAGGAAAAGTTCACATTGTCTGCAGGCAAGGAGGGTGACAGGGATGAAAAGTCACCCTTTCCGGGCTTGATCAAAACAAAACATATGAGGGAGCTCTGGAGGAGTAGTCCAGTCATTTCATGATGTGCAAAGACATCTTTCCCTGCCCAACCTAAAGAGGCAGTACCAAGCCTGAACTTCCACTAGTTCACACAACACTACACACACAGCATCGAGAAGCAGCCAAGAACATCTCCGTGATGGGTGTCAGCTACCACTACGGTGTAGTCCATGGTAGTCTGAGCATAGCACCCATGTCACCTCTATGTGTAGTCATCATTCATCTGCTATACATTAAGGCACTCATAGAGCTCTCAGAAAAAAACATGAGGCCTCAATCTGAAATTAGGTTGTTTTGAAGTCATGATTTCTGACTAAAAAATATGGGCTAGACTCATTCTGAAGCCACTTCAAGCATATTCATACATATTGATGGTATGTTCGGCATCTTGGGTCCCTAAGTTGAATATAATGGAAATATTTAGGAACCCTGGAAACTATGTTGATTTTGTGTATAGAATGACATACTAAATGAATCAGTAGATTTAATGCAAGTATATAAAAGAATAGATATATTAATTTTGTGCTTCTAAGTTGGCATGCATGTCTCAAATTATCAGCTGTCAGTATTAGTAAAAGTTATCACTTGAAGTCTTTAGCATTGTTTTGCACCTCATTTTTTTCTGAGACAGTTTATGTAATTCTTCCCATGCTTATTTGATCAGCTTCTTTTCTATGTGCCTAGCAAAACAGTTCACTCAGATTAGAATTACTGATCAGGAAGAGAAAAAAAATCATCAAGTGACAATCCATTACAAATTTTGATGGGAGCGGGGGTGCAGAGAGAACATGGACAGACTCAAAAAATTAACATATGCATAATGCATCACAAGAACACAGAAATCAACTTGAAGGGGTTCCCAATGGCCAAATCTGCGATCATCTGAATATCATAACTAAGACAGCAATAAATTATAAACCACTGAATATTAGAAAACAGCAAATCTATACTAATACTGGATTAATAAAAACATGGCTGCTGGGCATGGCAGCATATGCCTGTGATTCCAGCGACTCGGGAGGTTGAGGCAAGAGGAACTCTGCCTCAGCAACTTAGCGTGACCCTTCTCAAAATAAGAAAATTTTTAAAAGGCTGTGAATGTGGCTCTGTGGTTAAGCACCCCTAGGAAAAATCCCTGATACCAAAAAAAAAAAAAAAAAAAAAAATTAATAAAATAAGCCATGGCAGAGTCATGGCTTAGAACTATTTCCCAATGCAAAATACAAGTTTGTGACAGGATCCAGAGTCATAAAACAGTAAGTCCAGAAGATACTAAGAGGCAGCAGGTAAGCTCAGTCTTTTGCTGCCCCTCGCATAAGCTGGCATTTCTCCTATGTACCAACATTAGGGCTCTGACAATCCAAAGCAGGTTTGTAGGTGCTAAGAGTTTTCATTCCTTTTGCCAGCCCAAAAACATCTGAGGGCCTACCAGGTGATAAGACAAATACTCAGGTACTAATAATATATAACAATAAATACTATTATTATGTACAACTTTAGAACACTAATAAAAAACAACAAAGCCAAACATGAAGACTAATAAAAAATAAAAATTTCAAGAGCAGAAATCTGTAAAGAAAAAGGTAATATAGGATTTTGTGGGAAGGCGGCTTTCACCAGAATAATAGAAGAAAAGGTCTCCAATACTCTAAGGGGATATCAAGTTGAACCTGAAATAGGTGGCTGTCCTCACTCCAGAAAAGCCAAAGGCCTGGGGTAGAATCTAAGATAGGCATGTTCACAGGGTACAAAGGGGCTAATGTGGACTAGACAAGTATACGGAGGGAAAGGGGAGGGACAGGAAGCCAGAGGCCAGATCATATAGGGCTTGATCCTGAGTACAGCTTATAATGGGGGATTTTAAGCAGATTTAAGCTTTAGATAAAGATTTTTAGAAAAAAAGATGTCTTGATGTGGAGAACAAACTAAAGGGGCAGAGACAAGGTGCCCTTGCGAAGAGATGAATAAATAGTAGCTTGGATGAAGGACAGTAGTGATAAAACAGAGATAAGATTCTGGGGTTACCTCAATGAGTGTCCTTGGCAAAAGACCTAAAATTTTCCTCATACACATAAGAACATCAGGCAACCATTAAAAGTTACACTCCTCAAAACAATTAATAACCATAAGGGAAAAAGTCAAGCTACGGTGAATGAAATAAGGTTAAAAAATATGTCCAGGGGCTGAGATTGTGGCTCAGAGGTACAGCGCTCCCCTAGCATGCGTGAGGCACTGGGTTCAATCCTCAGCGCTGCATAAATATAAAATAAAGACATTGTGTCCACCTAAAACTAAAATATAAATATTTTTTAAAAAAATGTCCAATGCAATCCTAGTCTAAGATGTCTGTATGTGTGCGTGGCATGAACACCTCTTAATGAGCCCAAAGAACACCTTTTGGTGAGAGTTTTTTCTTTCTCCCTTTACTTTGTCCACAATAAAATATATGGTTATAATCAGAAAATTAGGGGGTGGGGTTGTAGCTCAGTAGCAGAGCACTTGCCTACTAGCTCATGTGAGGCACTGGGTTCGATCCTCAGCACCACATAAATAAATAAAATAAAGGTATTGTGTCCATCTACAATTTAAAAATTATATATTAAAAAAAGAAAGAAAATTAACTCCTTTAAACTTGTTTCAGAAATGGGGAAAATCAGACTCCAAGAATGAGATTTAGCTTTCCGACTCCCTGATTCTCCAACCCATACGAATCTGATGCTTAAGACTATTTGAGATAGTCATCTTTTTGAGGGTGAAGGGAGCAGGGCAGGGGGCAGGGGGGGCTTCAGTGCTGAGGAATCAAACCAAGGACCTCACCACAACTACATCCACAGCCCTTCATCTGTTTTTCTACAGGATCATCAGCTACTAAATGGCCTGCTTTCCATAGATAAATATGCTCAGATAAAATCCTGTTTTCCTAGTAAAATCTCTTTACTCTCCCAGTGAATAAGCCTGTTACAAGTCTCCTGCCAGATATTGCAAATATCCAGCTAACTGTATTTGCCCAAAGCACTTCTGGTCAAAATTAATTCATGTAAAACATTCCGATGGCCATCGGAACAAAGACAATCAATGCAGGGTTTCGAATATTCAGGGGCTCAAGCCAGAAGCTGGGCAAGAAATGTATCCTCCAGAACAGCCACTCTTTAACTACAATATTAGCATCTGGCTTGATGAGGTATTAGGAAGATTACATGGAAACCTATGCAAACACTCTGGAAATTAAAAGGTGCTCTGTGGAATTGGGCTGCAACATGAGCCAGGATCATCAGAACTAAAAAAAGGAGGGGGTGGGGAGGAAGGAAGAGATGGAGGAGGAAAGGAGTAGTAGGAGGGGGAGGGGGGAAGGGTAAAGAAGAATAGAGTGAACATCCCTGAGATCACAAAGCCACATAAGAACAAGTCATGAATGACCTAAAGAAAAGGAACCAAGGAGTTGCATGTGAAGAGTAAGTCCATCTAGATTTAACAGAAAAGGGCATAGGACTTACTCTTCACTGGAAAAATGGCATGGAATCTGTGAAACCTGGGAGAGGGGACCTGTGGGTCAGAAAGGGACAAGTTGACAAAGACCCACAAGAACCTGCATTCAGCCAGGTGTGATGGTGCACACCTGTAATCCCAGTGGCTCGGGAAGCTAAGGCAGGGGGATCACAAGTTTAAAGCTAGCCTCAGTGAGACTCTGTCACTAATAAAATACAAAAAGGGGATGGAGATGTGGCTCAGTGATTAAGTGCCCCTGAGTTCAATTCCCAGTACCAAAAAAAAAAAAAAAGAACCTGTATATGTTTCAACTAATGGAGTACAGCGGAAATCTTGTAGGAGTTTCCAAGCCTAAGCCTTAAGAGACTAGCAGATTCTACTTCCTGTTTCCTGGAATACCCAAACTTAAAATCCAGCTGTCCCACAGTGAGGAATCCCAAACAGCCCAGGGAGAAGTCTACATGAAGAGAAAACAAGAACACACTGATTAAGAGCACTAGTTAAGCTCCTAGTCAAAAAGGAGCATGAACTTAAAAACCATGAATGAGACACACGGGATTCTCCAGATCCAGATGAGCCACTCTAGTTAGTGCTATGAAAGTAGAAATGAGACTCTCAGACAACGAATGCCTGAATTCCTGATCACAAATTTCTGAAAATGGCTCACTGGGTTATTTTGTTGGTTTTGTCTTTTGTGGTGCTGGGGATGGAACTCAGTCAGTGCCTTACATACAGGAAAGGTCAGTGTTCTGCCACTGAACTAAATTTGCAGTCCCAGCTCATTATTTTAAACCACTAAGCTTGGTAGTTTAAACACATCAATAAATAGCCAAAACACTTTGTGTACGCAGAAGTCTAAATGACAAGCAGATATAAAAACTATCATTACAAAGTACAAATCTTCATATATTTTTAATTTATTTTTAAGTCATACCTCTTTTTTTAATATTTTGTTTTAGTTGTAGTTAATGCCTTTATTTAATGTATTATTTTTATGTGGTGCTGAGGATCAAACCCAGCACCTTGCACATGCTAGGTAAGCACTCTACCACTGAGCCACAATCTCAGCCCCTTAAGGCATACCTCTTTTTTCAGGGGGGGTGGTAAACTGGGACTTTAACGCAGGGGTGCTTTACCATTGAATTACATCCCTAGCCCCTTTAATTATTTTATTTTATTTTCGGGGGGGGGGGGACACAGCTTCATTGAATTGCCTAGAGAATGGGAGTGTAGTGTACCCCAGTGGTAGAGCAATTGCCTAGCATACGTGAGGTGCTGTGTTCAATCCCCAGCACAACAAAAATAATTAATAAATAAATTGCTTAGGGCCTCACTAAATTGCTGTGGCCAGTCTTAAGCCTGTATCCTCCTGCCTCAGCACCCTATTCCACTCCTGAAGTCCCTGGAATTATAGATATGGCCACCACAACCAGCTAAGCCACATCCTAAGAATGCTGTAAGGCAGGAATCAACAAACTAGGCCAGGGCCAAGTGCAGCCTGCCACCTGTTTTTGCATGGCCCGTTTTTTTAACTTTCTAATGACTGGAGAAAAAATAAGAGTATTTCTTGACATGTGAAAATTATATAGAATTCAGTTTCAGTTTCTGTTAAGTTTTATCGAAACATGGCCATGCCCATTCATTTACATGTTGTCTATACCTACTTTCACATTATGCTGGCTAACTGAAGAGTTTTGACAGAAATCATATGAACCTGCAACACTTCAGGGATATATCCCACCTACCTATCCACCATACAAACTTACTCAGTATTGAGAGGAAATGTCAAGGTTCTACAAGCCCAGGCAGAGGAATAGAATTTGGGGGGCAAAAATTAAGTTTAAGATGCTATCTGAGGTTTATCAGTATTCTCCTGGGAAAATCAGTGGCTGACACTCTCCTGAGAGTTACTTAGTAGATACCAAAATAATTGAGCTCAGAACTGGTGGAGCTCACAATTGAGAAGGAAGAGATATCAAAACTAAAATGGAAGATGAGAAATCTTCCTTATTTATGCTTTGTATCTAGTCTTACCTTGACGATTTCTCCACTGGAAGCAATTAAATCTGTAGGAATGGTCACTTGAAATGAGCGCCCGACGATAGCTGTGCCATCGGGAATGCCAACCACCCTGGGAACAGCTTCATGAAGATCTGAAAGCACTGAATGCATGGACGCTTCAAGCTGGTTCTCCCAGTCCCTGATGGCCTCTGACGGTTCACTGGGCCAGCGAGATTGAATCATGGCCACAGAAAGCAGGAGGACAAAGATCCTCCCCCAGAAGGGGAGCAGCAGTGAAAGGCCCACAGACATCCTCATCCCAGGTCCAAGCTGCTCAAGCCGACAGTCTTGTTAAGGAAGGAAGAAAGTGACGTGGTCCCAGAATTGGGTTCTTACCCTCTATACACCTGCTCCATCTTAGAGCCTGAAAATAAAAGAAGAGTAGATTCAGACTTCAACAATCTCCACAGCTGCAAGACTGTGACAGAGAACTTCTCCATTAGTGAAGGAAATCGGCTAGTCCAGTTAAGTGTAAAATAAATACACACTGGATTTTGAAAACATGGCATAAAAAAGGAAAGTAAGATACCCCATTAATAATTTTGAGACACTGATTACAACAATGATAATATTTTGGATATAATCAAACATATTATTAAATGAAATGCATTAAATAAAATTTTAAAAAATAGTAATAATGAGATCAGTTAGCCAGACATGGTGGCACATGTCTAAAATCCCAACAACTGGGGATGCTGAGGCAAGAGGACAGCAAGTTCCAGGATAGTTTGGGCAACTTAGCAAGATACTATCTCAAAAATAAAAATGGAGGGGGGTGTGGCTCAATGGCAAGAGTGCTTACCTAGTATGTGCGAGGCTCTTGGTTCTATACTTAGTACCACAAAAAAAATCTATTTAATAAAACATATTATTGAAATTAATTTCATCCCCAGCACTGTTTTTTTTAAGAGAGAGAATTTTTAATATTTATTTTTCAGTTTTCAGTGGACACAACATATTTATTTTATTTTTATGTGGTGCTGAAGATCGAACCCAGTGCCCCACGCATGCCAGGTGAGCACGTTACCTCTTGAGCACATCCCCAGCCCCCCAGCACTGTTAAAAAAAAAAAAAAAAGAAAAAGAAAAGAAAAGAAAATTAATTTCACCTGCTTGTTTCTGAGTTTATGTATGTGTGCCTACCAAGAAAATTTAAATGACATATGTGGCTCACATTATATGTCTGTTGGGCAGCACGGCTCTAGATGCAATTTCCATCTTATAGGAAATATGGGAGCCATGAAAAGACATCTGGGTAAATTTAGAATGTGGGACCTTATACAAAATACCTGGCCTGGTCTCTCGAAATGCTAACATTCCCTAAATTTTAGGTAACTGTTCTAGCTTAAGAGTTAGTAACCAGGGCTGGGGATGTGGCTCAAGCGGTAGCGTGCTCGCCTGGCATGCGTGTGGCCCGGGTTCGATCCTCAGCACCACATACAAACAAAGATGTTGTGTCCGCCGAAAACTAAAAAATAAATATTAAAATATTCTCTCTCTCTCTCTAAAATAAATAAATAAATAAACTTGAGTTCCTTAAAAAAAAAGAGAGAGAGAGTTAGTAACCAGGGCTGGGGATATAGCTCAGTTGGTAGAGTGCCTGCCTTGTATGCATAAGGCCCTGGGTTCAATCCTCAGCACCACAAAAAAAAAAAAAAAAAAAAAAAAAAAAAATATATATATATATATATATATATATATATATATATATATATATATAGTTAGTAACCAGACATGATAGACACATTTTGACTGGATCCTAGATTTACTTCAAACACATACACATAAACACACACACAAACTCAGGTCCCAGGAGATAACAGGGGATCTGCATGTGAGCCAGAGATTGGATTTACTTTACTTCTCTGACATGGTATAATGGCTGTGTATTTCCATAGGGATTTTCCTCAATCTCCCTGTACCCAGCACTGGGTATTAAACCAAGATGTGATCTACCACTGAGCTATATGCCCAGTCTTTATTATTATTTTTTTTTTGGTACTAGGGATTGAACCCATGGGTGTCTTCCACTGAACCACATCGCCACATCCCCAGTCCTTTTTGTTTTTTGTTTTGAGACAGGGTCTCACTAAGTTACCAAGGGTTTTGCTGAATTGCTGAGACTGGCCATGAACTTGCAGGCTCCCAATTCGCTGGAATTATAGGCAGGTGGCATCATGTCCAGCTCCCAGCCTTTTTTATTTTGAGACTGGGTCTCAATAAGTTGCACAAGTTGGCTTTGATTGCAATCCTCAGCTTCCCAAGTAGCTGAGATTATAGGCAAGTGCCATCACACCTGGTGCCATAACACATCACATCACATCAATCTTATGGGTTTTCTCCTCTGGCCCCTACAACTCCCCCCAGTGCTGAGAATTGAACCCATGGCATTTTGCATGGGGAGCAAGTGCTCTACCAGAAATACACCCCAGCCTAGGAGTTAAAGTCACTTGGCACTGTAACAATAAATAAGACTTTAAAAACTACTTTTTAAGAGCAAAACAAACCAAAACAAAAAAACAACTAAGGATCTACAAAGAAAAATGCAGCAACTGCTACTCCTCACACCCCAAGCATTAATCATAGAACAGGTTTATTAAACAAGTAAATTTGTAAACCTGTGCTAGTAAACAAACTTATTTGACCTCTCTTACCCTCCACCCACTAGAGTAACAAGAAATCTGCATACTGTCCTCCATTCCATCAGCATCAAGCAGTTCAGCTCTATCAGCAACACAGATGCCTTGTGGGACCTGCTGGGGGCCCACAGGTGATGATAGACATCACAAGCAACTTGCTGTTCTGGAAAAAGATTAAGTACTATCATGAGCCCACACTGCAGAGGGGCATGTGACATTTGTCTGAACTGGGTAATGCAAAGTAAACAAAACCAAAATTGATAACGAAAACAAGGCAGCCTGGGGTTGTGGCTCAGCGATAGAGCACTTGCCTAGAACCTATGAGGCCCTGGGTTTAATCCTCAGCGCCTCATAAAAATAAAGATATTGTGTCCATCTACAACTAAAAATTAAAAATTAAAAAAAAAAAAGAGGGCTGGGGCTATGGCTCCGCAGTAGTACACTTGCCTGGCATGTATGAGGCACTAGGTTTGATTCTCAGACCTTTATTTTATTTATATGTGGTGCTATCAACAACTAAAAAAAAAATTTTAAAATTAAATTAAAAATCCTAGATATTATATATAAAGCAAATATAAGTCTAAAATGTGAAAAGAAAGCAGCAGACCAACAAGGGGTCCCAGAACTTCAGAGATAACACAGTGGTGAGTTTTCTGAGTTTTCTTTTTGCCTCAAAAATGCTAGAATTAGAGCTAAAGAAGCTGAATGGACACGGTGGCACATTCTTATAATCCCAGAGACTTGTGAAGCTGAGGCAAGAGGATCACAAATTCATGGCTATCCTGGACAACTTAGCAAGATCCTATCTCAAAATAAAAATATAAAGGAAGTGGGTGTATCTCAGTGGTAAAGAACCCCTGGGTTCCATCCCCAGAACCACCAAAAAAAGAGAGAGAGAGAGATATGAGAAGCTGGCAACCCAGAAATGTTAACTGATGAGACAAAATTAAAGTCCCAGGGTTGGGGTTGTAGCTCAGTGGTAGAGCACTTGCCTAGCACATGTGAGGCACTGGGTTCAATCTTCAGTATCAAATAAAAATAAATAAATAAAATAGAGTATTGTGTCCACCTACAAATTATATATATAATATACAAATTATTATATATAATATACATAAAGTTCCAAAAAATGTCTTGCTTTCTCTAATCAAAGGAAAGGTAAGAAGAACCCTAGAATGACAGAAAACTTTAGGACAATAATAGCTCCAGTCAAACACCACAAGTACTGGGTACGGTGGTATACAGCTATAATCCCAGCTACTCAGGAAACTAAGGCAGGAGGATCACAAGTTTGAGGGCAGCTCAAGCAAATTAGCAAGACCTTATATCTCAAAATAAAAAACAAAGAGTTGAGGATAGGGGATGGGGAGATAGCTCAGTTGGTAGAGTGCTTGCCTCACATGCATAAGGTGCTGGGTTCAATCCCCAGCACCACACACACAAAAAAAGTTGAAGATATAGCTCTATGGTAGGATGCCCTGGGGTTCAATCCCCAGTATCAAAAAATATATTCTATAAGAAAAAACTATGGTCCCACCCCTACTCACACCAACAAAGACTTCCACCCTAGTGAAGCTGCAACAAAGTGTACCAAATATCCTCAATAGGGTAGCATCAGAGAAAATTAGATAGCTAGAACTTTCATCCCCACTGGTCAGTAATAGTGTGACAATAGCCCCAGTTATAAGAAGCCTGAATTTTCTTTGCCCAGCCTTCTCCTGCTGGCGCAGTATCAGAAAAAGTCAGCTAAACCAGGCACAGTGGTGAATGCCTACGTGGAATTCCAGCTACTCAGCAGACTAAGGCAGGAGGACTACGAGTTTAGAGAAACTTATGCAACCCTATCTCAAAAATAAAAAGGGGGCTGGGGATGTGGCTCAATGGTAGTGACTGGCAATGCATGAGGCTCTGAGTTTGATATCCAGTACAGCAAAAAAATAGCAAGACGTGGTAGCATATGCCTGTAAATTGAAGCAACTTGGGAGGCCAAGGCAGGATGATCACAAGTTCAAGTCCAGACCAGGCAATTTAGATCCTATCTCAAAATAAAAAATAAAAATAAAATGGGCTAGTGATGCAAAAATTGAAGATTACACACAGAAAGAGATATAAAAGGACATGAAAGGGCTGGGGATGTGGCTCAAGCAGTAGCGTGCTCGCCTGGCATGTGTGCGCCTGGGTTCGATCCTCAGCACCACATACAAACAAAGATGTTGTGTCTGCCGAGAACTGAAAAATAAATATTAAAAAATTCTCTCTCTCTCTCTCTCTCAAAAAAAAAATAAATAAATAAATAAAAAGGACATGAAAGCTGAGGCAGAGAGTAGAAGTGATAAAGCCACAAAAGAATGCTGGTAGCCACTAGAATAAGCAGCCAGGAATGGCTTCTCCCCCAGAGCCTCCAGAGACCCTCCCAGTCCTTACCAAGATTTGATTTTGGACTTCTGGTCTCCAGAACTATGAAAGAATAAATGTGTGTTACTTTAAGCCATTAAGGTTGTAGCAATATTTTTACAGCAATCCTAGAAAATACAAGGTTTAATGCAACTCATATCAAAATTCCAGAAAGTTTTCTATAGAGATAAAAGAGTATTCAAAAATTTATATGAATAAGAATTGAACTTATTAAATAGTTTATATATATAATTATAATATAATTTAGTTGTAGTTGAACATAACATCTTTATTTTATTTATTTATTTTTATGTGGTGCTCGGGATAGAACCCAGCACCTCGCATGTGCTAGGCGAGCACTCTACCGCTGAGCCACAATCCCAGCCCTCAAAATAGTTTTGAAAAAGAAAAATATAGAGAAATTATTTTATCTAATACCAAGATTCAGATATCGTGTAGCTATAGTAATAAGGCAGTATTGGTGGAGGAAAACACACATAGTTCAATAGAACAGAATCCATAAACAGACCTACAGGAATACGCCAAACTCATTTTTTATAATGGTACTAAAGTAATTCAATGGATGGGTTTTGCCTTTCAACCTAAGGTCTTTCAATGGGTGAAGATTAAACAAACTGTAGCAAAGCCCTCTACCACTAAGCCACATCCCCAGCACCCCCCAACCATCAAATACTAATGCTCAATAAAAAGAAATAAACTAGGGCTGGGGTTGTGGTTCAGAGGTAGAGCTCTCGCCTACCATGCATGAGGCACTGAGTTTGATCCTCAGCACCACATTAAAAAAAATAAAATAAAGATATTGTGTCTACCTATAACTAAAAAATAATATTTTTTAAAAGGGAATTTTAAAAAGAAAAGAAATAAACTAGTTGGGTGCTGTGGCACATGCCTGTAATCCCAGCTCCTCAGGAGTCTGAGGCAGGAGGATCCCATGTTGAAGTCCAATCTGGGCAATTTAATGAGACCCTGTCTCAAAACAAAAAATGTAAAAGGAATGAGGAAGTAGTTCTGTGGTAGAGCTTTTGCCTAGTATCCATAAGGCCCCAGTAACACACACACAAAAGAATGAACTACTGATACACTCAATAATTCAGGTGAATTTTGAAGTAATCACAATAGGTGAAAAAGTGTTATAACATTCTTTGTATGCCATTTTTATAACATTCTTGAAATGACAAAATTATAAAAATGGAGAATAAATTAGTAGTTACCAGTGGTTAAGGAAGGACTCCAACATATGAGGGAAGTAGGTGTGGGTATAAATGGGCAACATGAGGGATTCTTTTGTTTTTTTAATATTTATTTTTTAGTTATAGTTGAACACAATATCTTTATTTAATTTATTTATTTATATGTGGTGCTGAGGATCGAACCCAGGGCCTTGCATGTGCTAGGCGAGCGCTCTACCACTGAGCCACAACCCCAGCCCCCAAGAGGGATTCTTGTGTGGATGAAAATGTTATCTACCTTTACTATACCAGGTCAGGGTATATTGATTACACTACTGTACTTTAGCGTTCCAACATGTTATCAGGAGAAATTGGGTAAGTATACACAGGATCTCTCTAAATTTTTTTTATTTCTTCACTTGCTTTTTTTTTTTTTTTTAAGTGCTGTGGTTCAAACCCAGGGTCTTCTGAATGCTAAACGTGCTCTACCACTGAGCTACACTCCCCAGCCCATCTCTACAGTTTCTAACTATATGGTAACTAGTTTTGTATGTGAACACAAATTTATCTCAAAATTTTTAGAAATCTAAGAAATAAGCTAGGCGCAGCAGTGCACAACTGTAATACCAACAACTCAAGAGGCTGAGGCAGGAAGATCACAAGTTCAAAGCCAGTCTCAGCAACCCTAAGCTTCTTAGTGAAACCCTGTCTCAAAATAAAAAATAATGGCTGGGGATGTTGTTCAATGGTTAATCGCCCCTGGGTTCAATCTCTAGTACCAAAAAAAAAAAAAAAAAAAAAACACGTTTTTCTATTTTTCTTTCGGTGGCACTGAAGGATTACTCCCAGACCTCAGGCATGCTAGGCAAATATCTACTACTGAGTCAAACCTGTATCTCCTTGTTTATTTTGAGACAGGGTCTCAATAAGTTGCCCAGGTTGGCCTTAAACTTGTGATTTTCCTGCCTCAGTCTCCCAGGTAGCTGGGATGACAGGTGTGTGCCACTGTGTTTATGGCTTATTGTATCACTTTAATTTCTAAGTTGTTTGTTCTTTGGCCCTTTTTATTGTTTATTTTTAAGAACCAGGGATTGAACTCAGTCCCCAACCCTATTTTGTACTTCATTTAGAGACAGGGTCTCACTGAGTTGCTTAGCACCTTACTTTTGCTGAGGCTAGCTTTGAATTCATAATCCTCTTGCCTCAGTCTCCCTAGCTGCTGGGATTACAGGCATGTGCCACTGCACCTGGTGACCCTTTTTATTTTCTGAGACAGGGTCTACCTTGATAAATTGCCTGGGCTGAACTCCCAACTTGCCACCCTCCTGCCTTAGCCTCCCCATTCCCTATGTAACAGTTAAGAAAACTCTTAAAGTTATAGTTACAATTTTAAATAGCATTAAAACACATAGTACCTCCTTTAATTTCCTTTCCCTTTTTCATGCATTTTAACTTTTATTTAGTAAATGGTTCAGCTCAACCAACATTTCACCAAGACAAAATTCTGGGAGTGCAGCAATATATCTAATGTATATCCACTTAATGTATACCCAGCACTCACACAGAGACAGCCACACTCCTAATCAATGAATGAAGAAAACACAGGCCTATTAAAAAACATTTTTTCTTCCTATATGTGTACTCTAGTTTACTTACTTTTTACTTCTTAGATCCAGCTTATCTTTGATTTATTTCTCTAATTTGATTCTCAATTTTAAATTCTCAGCTTTTTTGGAAAATTATTTCTCTAATTTGATTCTCAATTTTAAATTCTCAGCTTTTTTGGGGGAAAAAAAATCAGTAATAAGATACACTCTACCCTGCCAGGAACATAAGCTCAGTCTGCTATCTGTAGACACATGACGACATAGGGTGTCTGTTCCATGGGCATGACTAAGTGCTCTGCATTTAGAAGGCAGGCAATGTACAAGGCACAACTCCAACTACTACATGTAGTTTTATTCTGGAGAGAAAAGATCTTTCTGAAACTTGTCAAAAAGCAGCATGTGTCTTTCTGATATTGGCTCCCTATAAGCAAGAGTCATATCTGTCTGTATTAGGAAACTGGTAGGCTGTACCCACACACCAGTATTATGATGGTCCTCTTGAAGGTTTTTTCACATAAGTCTCATAACCACACACTTGATCATAATGAAAAGATCCTTCTCCTCCTCTTTTATCAGGGATCAGGGCCCAAAGAGAAGTAAATACTCAACCATGGTCACAGAGAGCCTAGTAGTCAGACCATGATGAAAGAGAGGTTCAGTCTTGGGGCTAGAGTTGTGGCTCACTGGTGGCACTTACCTAACGTGTGAAGCACTGGGTTCAATTCTCAGCATCACATAAAAATAAATAAAATAAAGGTCCACTGACAACTAAAAAATATTTTTTAAAAAGAGAGGTTCAGTCTTCTTGACAAGACCATTAATTTTAACACTTCACACATATACTCACATTATGTCCTTTCAACTACCAAAAAGTGCTCAAGGCCACCCAAGAATATGTCCCAGGTGATCTTACCACTGTCTGGCTAACAGGAGCTGCCAAAGCTCTCCTACTGAGAAACAAATGATGGGAACTGGGAATCCACTTCCTGTGCCAGCACTCAGTGCAGTGCCCATGTCTACGTCTGAGAGTCTCAATATGGCCCCGCACTTTAATGAAATCCAATTCCATTTAGAAAGGAACTTCCCAGAGCCTTGGGGAAGCCCCTGGTCCTCTCAACACATGTTCTTCAACCAGGGCACACAGGGTGATAGATACAGTTGCCAGGCAGCAATTCCATCCCTCAGTCTCAGATGTCCCGGAGGGACAAGGACACTTTAAAAGTATTCGTGCCTGCAAAGCCTGGAGAGGGCAAAGCTGTTCCAGAAGTGGCTACTCCAACTGCCTTCTCCCTCTTCTCTTGGTAAAAGCCTACAATCCTGCCTAAGAGTTGCCAGTACCTAAGAGGAAAGTCCCACAGCACCCTAGATACATGTAGCACCCAACAGTACTACTTAGGAAGCACTTTCACAAGGGTTTTGAAGGTAAAGGAAGAATACCTGAGCAGGAAACCTTCACCAAGCTCCTGGGAATTCAGTCCCCAAAGATGAAAGGACAATCTAGGGTGAAATCCCAGGAAGCCCCAGACTCAGAGACTCAGCACAGGGATGCATCCTCACCTCACCCAGAGGAACCAGAATGAGCTGGGATAAAGTCAGCAAGTCCTAAGTCTAACTCATCACAGATACCAAAAGCAAAAATCCACAAAAGGCAATGATTTCTGCTGATACTAGTTTTGTTTTTTCCCAAGAAAAGCAGGAAGGAAGAAGCAAAGTTTTAACACCTGGGCATAAATTCACCCAGATGCAAACATTGTTCTTGAGAAAGAGAAGGAAGATACAGTTCAAAATCCAGGACTAAATAGCTGTTCTCCACTGGACCACAGTTTTTTTGCTTTTTTCTTTTTTGGTGGCAGGGATTGAACTCCGGGCCTTGTTGCATGCAAGGCCATATGCTGAAGTTAAACATTACTCACTATTGAATAGTACATTTAAAACCTATTCAGATGTTGTTGGGTTTTTGTTTTTTTTTTTTTTTTTGTGTGTGTGTGTGTGTATGTGTGTGGTGCTGGGGAAGGAACCCAGCCCCAGCGCCTTATGCATGCAAGGCAAGCACTCTATCAACTGAGCTATATCCCCAGCCCCCAGGTAGTAATTTTTGTTTTAATATCTATTTTTTAGTTGTAGTTGGACACAACACATTTTTTTATTTGTTTGTTTATTTATTTATGGTGCTAAGGAGCAAACCCAGGGCCTCGCACATGCAAAGCAAGCACTCTACCACCGAACCACAACCCCAGCACCCCAGATGGTAACTTTTTGAGGTTTTGTTTTTTTTTTAATATTGCTGCATTTAATTTTACATAATAATGGGACTCATTGTGCCATATCTGCACATGCACATAATTTGATCAATCACATTCTCTATACATAAATTCTCCCATTTTGGGGGTGTGGTACCAGAGATTAAACTCAGAGGTACTCAACCACTGAGCCACATTCCCAACCCTATTTTGTATTTTACTTAGAGACTGGTCTCACTGAGTTGCTTAGCCTCTGGCCATTGTTGAGGCTGGTTTTGAACTTGAGATCCTCCTGCCTCAGCCTCCTGAGCTACTTGCTTGCGTCACCACGCTTAGCTCTACCCACTTTTCTTTACAATTAAAATTTTGTTTTAGAATAAGGATGTAGCTCAATGCTACAAAGAGCATGTTTATTAGCATGTACAAAGCCCTGAGATCAATTCCCAGCACCAAAACACACACACACACACACACACACAAAATTGTTTTTAAATGGTTAAGATGGTGTATTTTATGTTATGCATACTTTGCTATAGTAAGTAAATAAATATTTTAGAAAACATTACTCAACTAAAAAATAAATATTAAAAAAAATAATAAAAAAAGAAAAGAAAACATTACTCAAGCCGGGTGTGGTAGTGCATGCTTACAACCCAGGCAATACAGGAGGCTGAGGCAGGAGGCTATCAAGTTCAAGGCAAGTCTCAGCTACTCAGTGAGGCCCTAAGCAAAAGAAAAAATTTAAAAGTTCTGAAGATAGATATAGCTTAGTGGTAAAGCACTGCTGGGTTCAATCCCCGGTATCAAAAAAAAAAAGAAAACATTACTTAGGATTGAGGGGTGGCTCCGTGGGAGAACACTTGCCTAGCATGTGATGTGCAAGGTTCTGGGTTCAATGCCCAGCACCATGGAAGGAAGGAAGGTAGATAAGGTAGGTAGATTACTCAGAATCGCACCAATCAGACTTTAGGAAAAAACACCTCAGGAGTCTTTGGGAATATGTCCCCATGATAACACAGTCCAGTCTTTTAATTGCAAGTGCCCATGCAGGTCACTGAGAATGGAAAAAGTTAAACTGAGATCAAAGACAAGGACCCAGACTAACCATCCATTTATATGTAGCACTGAGAGTGGGAGGCAGGGTGGAGATGGAGGAACAAGTATAAGGGGTGGGTGGCCTGCCTCAGCAGAATCCAAATGGAAATACATTATCACTTATGCGGCATCCAAAAACCCAACTAAAGCAAACTACAATTATCTTAAGACAGTGCAACAATTAATACTTCAGCACACATTTACTAACTACCTACCCTGTACTAGGTATGAGACTTCATTTGCTAGTCACAGTCTTTCCAAATTTCATAGAAATATCCAATTAAGATTTACATTCATGGGACTGGGGCTTTGGCTCAGTGGTAGAGAGCTTGTCTAGCATGCATGAGGCACTGATTTGATCCTCAGCACCACATAAAAATAAATAAAGGTATTCTGTCCATCTACAACTACAAAAAAAATGAAAAATTAAAAAAAAAAAAGATTTATGTTCATTAGCCAGGAGTGGTGGTGCAGGCCCCTAATCTCAGCAACTCAGGAAGCTAAGGCAGAAATGTTGCAGGTTCAAAGCCAGCCTCAGTTGGGCTGGGGATGTGGCTCAAGCAGTAGTGTACTCGCCTGGCATGCGTGCGGCCCGGGTTCGATCCTCAGCACCACATACAAACAAAGATGTTGTGTCCGCCAAAAACTAAAAAAAATAAATATTAAAAAAAAAATTCTCTCTCTTAAAAAAAAAATAAATAAAAACATCTTGAAAAAAAAAAAAAGCCAGCCTCAGCAACCTAGTTGAGACCTTAATTCAAAATAAAAATGGAAAGGACTGGGGGTGTAGCTCAGTGGTAGAGAACCCCTGGATTCAATCCCCAGTATTGAAAAAGAATTACAGGGGCTGGGATTGTGGCTCAGTGGTAGAGCGCTCGTCTAGCACGGGCAGGATCTGGGTTCGATCCTCAAAACCACATAAAAATAAAGGCACTGTGTTGTGTCCATCTACACCTAAAAAAAAAAAAATATTTAAAAAATTACATATATTAGCTGGGTGTAGTGGCAAAAGCCTGCAATCCCAATGACTCAAGAAGCTCAAGCAGGAAGATCACAGAAGTTTGAGGCCAGCTTGGGCAACTTAGCAAGACACTATCTCAAAATAAAAGTAAAAAGAAGAGTTGGGTACGTAGCTCAGTGGTAAAGCATCCCTGGGTTCAATCCCCAGTACCTTAAGGAAAAAAAAAATTTACACACATTACTAAATCACAAAACAGAAATGGTAATAAACTAACAAAATACAGTCAGTCACATAATATGTTCAAGATAGTGTCTAAGAGTGGCCCTGCAAGAGTGCATGGAGCTGATTCCTATCACCTGGCCATAGCACAATACATTTCTCATGTGTTTATGGTAATACTGATGTAAATAAACCTGCCTCACTGCCAGCTGCATGAAAGTATAGCACAAAGCTGAGGGTATATTTCAGTGATAGAGCACTTGCCTACTATGTGAGGCTGAATTCAATTTCCAGGACTGCCAAAACAAAAAAAGTTAACTGTCAGAACAGTCTTATACAAATCCTTCAGAAGGTATTTCACGGATTGGGTGCAGAATCTGTCTAGCTTATACAAAGCCCTGGGTTTGATCGTTAGCACAGGAAAAAAAAAAAAAAAACAAAACAAAGCACAGAAGGTACTGCAGAAAAAGACATTGCTACAATAGAAGATGAAAGATTCATGACTGTTTTGCCCCTGAAGATCTCCCATGGGACAAAATGTAGGGGTGAAAGACAGTGACAGTGATGGTTCTAAGTCTTTGTGGGCACAGATTAATGTGTTTTTGGAAAAAAAAAAGTTTAAAAAGTAACAAGTTTAAAAATAAAAAAACATAGAATGAGAATATAAGTAAAATATTTTTGTATAGCTGTACAATATGTTTGTGTTTTGTTATTACAAGAGTGAAAGGTTTTATAAAATTTTAGTTTATAAAGTAAAATTGTTATAGTAAGTGAAAGTTATTGCTGAAGAATTTTTTTATATAAATTTAAGGTAGCTTAAGCATACAGTGTTACAAAGTCTGAAGACGTGTAATGTCCTATTTATATGTCTATCTTCTTATTTATTTATTTCAGTACTAAGGATTGAACCTAGGGGTGTTCTACCACTGAGCTACATCCTCGGGTTTTTTTTTTTTCTTTTTTCTTTTCTTCTTTTTTTTTTTTTAATTTTGAGTTAAAGTCTAAGATGCAGAGGCTGATGTCAAACTTGCAATTCTCTGCCTCAGCTTCCCAAGTCACTGGGATTATAGGCATGCACTAACACACCTGGCTCCTCTTTTAATGTTTCATTTGGTATTTCTATTGTACCTTTTATATGATTAAATACACACAAATGTGCTTCAATAGCCTATAGTATTTGGTACAGTGACATGCTGCACAAGTCTGTAGTCTGGGAGCAATAAGCTGTATCAGATAACCTAGAAGTACAAGGCTATACCATCTAGTTCTGCATAAGTACACTTTATTTTTTTTTTTTTAAAGAGAGAGTGTGAGAGAGAGAAAGATAGAGAGAGAATTTTTAATATTTATTTTTTAGTTTTTGGCGGACACAACATCTTTATTTGTATGTGGTGCTGAGGATCGAACCAGGGCCGCACACATGCCAGGCGAGCGCACTACCACTTGAGCCACATCCCCAGCCCGCATAAGTATACTTTATAATGTTCACATAACAAAACTCTTAACACATTTCTCAGAATGAACCCCATTAAGTGACCCACAACTGTACTTAAGACTAATATATTATAAACAGGCATTTTCTTTTTTTTTAATTATTTTTTTATTTATATACGACAGCAGAATGCATTACAATTTAAACAGGCATTTTCTAGTAAGTACTTATTGGAAATTAAAATTTGCTTTCTGACTTACCAAGCTCCACCTCGTTATCCCCTTCTCCCCAATTCAGACAAAGAAAGTGAGGCTACACTGTGAGGCAGGATGATCAATATCTGTTGCAGTAAAAGGTGATGATGATCGCTGCCCTGAGAGGAAAAGAGGGAGGAAAGACCCACTGCCCAGGTCTTGACAGCATTTACTCTGTTGTTCTCTCCCCAACCAGGTTATTGGCACAGAGCAGGTATTTGGCAGACTTCTGCACAGTACAGAGAAAAGAATAAAGGCTATGACCACCTTATTTCATATTTTCAAGTTAAAAGCTGAGTTTTCTATTTTTTCTATTACACTACAAAAGAAAAAAATATCAGTGCCACAACTCTAAACTAGTATGCTAATCTGGCTTTATAATTTTTTTTTTTTTGGCAGTGCTGGGGATTGAACCCAGGGCTTTGTGCATGTGAGGCAAGCACTCTACCCACTGAGCTATATCCCCAGCCAAAGGTTGGTTTGTTTGTTTTTTTTTTAATCTTATTATTATTATTTTTGGTGGGGTTCTTTTTTTTTTTTTTTGCCTTTTTTGGAACTGGGGGTTGAACCCAGGGCTTCGCGAATGCAAGGCAGATGCTTTGCCACTGAGCTACATCCCAGCCCGCTAATCTGGCTTTAATGAATTAAGTTTGATAAAAGTGTGCTGGGTGCTGGCCTTCCTAACCTAATCAAACTCCAAAGCAGAAAAATTAGATGAAATGTCAGCATGGCCTCAGTCACCCCCAGCTCCCTGTTCTGCTCTGCTCCCATTTAACTGAGTGGTTGACCCTGCCAGCAGTCTTAAAATGTATGAGTGGGACCCAGAGCCCAATGCCTCAAGAGTTAAACAACACTGTCCCAGCCCCTGGTGACTGGAAGTTTTTGCAAGTTCACTATAAGGTGTGTTTAAACAAATATTTCAGGGCTGGGGCTGTAGCTCAGTGGTAGAGTGCTTGCCTAGCATGTGTGAGGCACTGAGTTCAATCCTTAGCATCACAGAAAAATAAATAAAGGCATGCTATCCATATACAACTACCCCCCACAAAAAAAATTAAAACAAAAACAAATACTTCCAACTTTCAGTGTTTAAAGCTGGGACTTGCTTTCAGTCACATTCTTTTTTGGGCCACATTCTTAAAAGTTTGACCATTAAGAACATTTCTTTCTTGCCAGAAATTAGATCAACATACCTTGTTTACTAAAGAACAAGACAAGCCATGCATAGTGACACATGCCTGCAAATCCCAGGTAATTAGGGAGGCTGAGGTAGGACTGAAAGTTTGAGGCCAGCCTCCCAACTTAGCAAGACCTTGTCTCAAAAACTAACTAAATAAAAAATGACTGGGGAGCTGGGCATGGTAGCACAAGCCTGTGATCCCAGTGACTCAAGAGGCTGAGGCAGCAGGATCATAAGTTTGAGAGCAGTTTAAGCAACTTAGCAAGGCTCTAAGCAGTTTGGCAAGACCCTGTCTCAAAATGAAAAATAAAAAGGACTGGAGATGTGGCTTAGTGGTTATGTGCCCCTGAGTTAAACCCCTGTACAGCAAAAAAAAAAAAAAAAAAAAAAAAAAAAATTAAAAAAACAGGGCTGGGGCTATAGCTCAGTGGCAAAGTGCTTGCCTAGCACATGTGAGGCATTGGGTTTGATCCTCAGCACCACATAAAAATTAACAAATAAAATAAAGGCATTCTGTCCATCTACAACTACCAAAAAAAAAAAGGACAAAACGAGCACCATTGCCTTGGCTCAGGATTTCCTGCTAGCAGAATTCCTTCTCTCCCTCAGATGGCACTAACTGGCCCTTCAACCTGCTTCAATCTTGCCACAGCTGCAAATCCTGAACAAACTACTCTGGTAGTATTAGGTGTATACTTTCAAATGCTGGAACATTTGATATCTTGCAGACTCCTAGAATCCCTGTTCTGTAGAGCTATGGTGACTCTATGACCAGTTATTAAAGTGGTGGGCCAGACCAACGGTGAGCAAAACTGGGATGTCTGCTATGTCTGACTTCAGAATAGGTTTTCCTAGAGCTACCTAAGAACACCACTTCCCAGTAAACTGGTGATGGCAAGACTCCTTGGTCAGGCCCTGCAACCTCAATGCTGCTAGCCTTCCCCAGCAAAAGATACTGACCTGCTCACTAAGGGGCACAGCACATATCTAGAAAAGTATGTACACTTAGGCACTTCTAGGCTAAATAACACTGAGAACACCCAAGTGCTTTCCTCTTCCCTCAAAGCCACAGGACAACCACAGGACAATGCTGTCTGCCATACTGGATTTATACCTAGGTTAGCATGAAGAAACCTTTGTTCTCACCTCCTACTTGTCTCCACTTTCCCTTTTTGCCATATTTGATCATTCCCTTAACACAAGTGGACTTCCACTCTGTAGTAATTATTTATAAATTAATTGTTGTATTTAAGAACCCAAGGATTAAAAACTAAAGGCAAAAAGGAATAAGGGAATGATAATGCAAGAGATCTATTTTATCAAAATCGTGCACTATAATTTACATGTTCCCAAATACTTTGCAGCTGCAGCTACAAAGCAATTTTCAGTGGTGGCCCCAATCTACTGATGTATGGATGGTGTTTTCTTTTTCCTATGGTCTTGGGGTCTTTTGAATTTCCAACCTGAGCAACTATCAGGCATGGATGTACCCCACCAGCCCACAGCTTAATTCTTCAGATTCTTTATCTTCATTTATCACAAAATCTTCAATTAGCTTCTTAGGTGAGCACATAATCACCCTGTAGAATTTCTCCCAGTCTCTATGCAAACTGATATGTGTACAAGGAGCTAATTAAAGAAACTTTTTTGTAAATGGAAAATTGATTTTATGTCTTCTTGTTGCATTTCTGGTTAAATTTTTTTTAAATCATCCACATTTTTTAAATATTTTTTTTAAATGTAGATGAACACAACACCTTTATTTTACTTATTTTTATGTGGTGCTGAGGATTGAACCCAGTGCCTCACACATGCTAGGCAAGTGCTCTACCACTGAGCTACAGCCCCAGCCCCTTAAATCATCCACATTTGACATATGTATTTTTTAAAATATTTTTTAGATGTAAATGGACACAATACCTTTATTTATTAATTTTTATGCAGTGCTGAGGATCAAACCAGGTGCCTCACATGTGCTGGGCAAGCACTCTACCACTGAGCTACAACCCTAGCCCCATCTGGTAAAACTTAAATCTTAAGTTCTATGGTCTTATGAATAAACCTAACCAAAAATTTCTTTCCATTTATCTCATGCTAAAGATGACTCTGAGAATTTCTTAATAACATGGTCCTCTAAACAAGCTGACTCCTCACAGAACCATGGGGGAAAGTCACTGCCCTACCTGCTTAGAACTTCCCTGATAAGAGGATGTAGAATTTATCTGATAAAATAGGATTTGGCCTCTATCACTCCGTATACTTATTCCTTTTTATTTTATTATTTCTTTTATCCCCCCACCCCACATATTTTTGTGGGGTGGGGGAATAAAAGATGTAGAAATAAATAGAACAGTGGCCAACAGGGCCAAGTTATTTATCCTAAGGCAATGGGGACATGGTGGGCTTGAGACATTTCTTACTGGCTCAGAAAATGGCTACAAAAACTGCAGTCCTCTGTAGCACTGCTCCCAGATCTAACTGTTATTATCTTCCCCACTAATCTGCCTCAGAAGTAAAGGGGAAGGGCAAATAGAGAGCCACACACTCCTCTGAAATGCTTCTGTTCCCAAGAGAGGGAGCAGCCCTCCAGTATTCCGCCAGCCTTAGACAATTACCTGCCATTTTCAGCAAATGCTTGGACGAAAATCCAGACTTCTTTGGAACAAGGAACTAAAAATATAGAACATTCACCAGTTGCCAGTAGAATTTGTGGAGAATCTGTTTTTGGTTTTTTTTGTTTGTTTTGTTTTGTTTTTAAATCAAGCCCTCTCTATAAACTAATCCACAAAGATGTCCCAAAAAAAGTCACTCTAGACTTACAAAAAGGACACATGAAGAAAAGCTAAGAAACAGGAAGTTTCCCAGCACACACCTGACCCCAGAGTTTCTACTTCCTCACACTCTTAAGGACTAGTGTAGCAGCTTGTGGTGTGTGTGTGTGTGTGTGTGTGTGTGTGTGTGTTTGGGGCGGGGGAGGTGGGTGTCCTATGATGCTAAAAAGTTTACAAATCTAATTTTCATATTACTTACAATTCATCTAAAGATCTCAGGTATCTTTTGTTCTTATAGATTGATTAGTGTTACATTATTTTTTCCAATGCTATGAATCAAACCCAAGTCCTTGCACATGGCAGGCAAGCACTCTACCACAGAGCTATGCTACCAGCCCCTAAGTATTAAATTGAACACTGACCATAAAGCCAGGGAAGTAACAAGGCCTTCATCTGCACAGGCATCATCAGCACTTCAAAGATAACCCATGTGCACCTGTTCTGATTACTTCCCTGTTTCGCATGTCCTGCTAGGTGATACAACACCAAGCACAGTGACTGGGCTCCAAAGCCAGCAAATGATTGGTGCATGGCACTTACTGCAGGCCTGGACACAGCTGGCATTCAATCATTTCCAAAACATTCTGAAGGCAAGTGAACATGTTTGAACTTCATATATGCCTCAACAGGAAAGCTACAGTCCTGAGGCATGGTTGTCTGCTGAGGACAGAACAGTCAAGGAGTCAAAGACTAACAAGGATCCCAGCCCTCCTGAGCAGTGGGTACAAGTATAAACAGCAATAGTAAAATTTTCTGCCAACAAGATTTGTTTTTATTACTTCCTACATTAAGTCTAAGTCTACCCTCAGAGTCTTATTTTCTAAGCAAATGCAGAATAAAATAATACCAGCTACAACGGCATGAATAGAGATAACTTGGCAAGTGGCAAATTAATGATACTCCATATCTGTTTTACTCTTTAGATGAAAGACAATGATAAATACATCAAAGAAACAACTACTATTTCTACAATAATTACTTTTCCTTTTTTTCATAAGCACTTTGGTCTAACAAAGAAACATGCAATAAGAATCATATTTTTTAATGTGTTTTTTTCCCCCCAGGGTGGGAAGTAACTGGGGATTGAACCCAGAGATACTTTACCACTGAAGTATATCCCCAGTCCTTTTTTTTTTTTTAGTTGTAGATAGACACAATACCTTTATTTTATTTATTTTTATGTGGTGCTGAGGAATGAACCCAGTGTCTCACATGTGCTAG